GCCCTGACCAGCCTCCTGCTCCTGTCCTCTGCCTTCAGCATTGTCTGACTTTTGGCACCTCTGTCCCTGCTCAGAGACACTGCTGCCCTGAGACTCCCTGTAGGCTGTCTGTCCAGCTTCCCACCCATCCCTGCCCGTCGTGTCTTTTCCAGAGTCTCTCTGCACCTGTGCCGCCTCCTTGGCTGGTTTGCGACGCTGTCAGGCCAGTGATTCTGAACGTTTTCTCTCTCTAGCCTCCGGCCAGCATCCACCCTCCTCCCCCATCTCCACACTGGAACTTTCATCACTCATCCACTCAGGCCATGCCTCCCCCGGGCTTCCACAGGTCCAGATGACTCACCCGGCCACCTCCCCCAGGATGCTCGCCTGTCTGTCAGCCACTTCCTCGTGGAGGGCGGAACCACTGCCGCAGGGCCGGGGCCACCTGCTGAGCCCTCATGTGGCCCTGTGCTCCAAGAGGGCATTCGAGGCGTCCAGATGACTCACCCGGCCACCTCCCCCAGGATGCTCGCCTGTCTGTCAGCCACTTCCTCTCGGAGGGCGGAACCACTGCCGCAGGGCCGGGGCCACCTGCTGAGCCCTCATGTGGCCCTGTGCTCCAAGAGGGCATTCGAGGCCTTCCATGATCTCCTGGTCAGACCCCAGGCCTTTGCACCTGCTTTCCTCTGCCCAGAATGCTCTTTCTTCTTACTGTTCTGGTTTAGGTCAAATACGACCTCCTCAGACAGGCTGTTCCTGACCAGCGAAGATTCCCGCCCTCCCTCTAGTCTCTAGGTCTCACTGCAACTGTATAAGGTCTGCATCAGACTTACCACTACCTGGAGTCACCTGACGTGTCTGCATGCTTGCTCCTTTGCTGGCTCTCTCCTTCACTAGATTCTAAGCTCCCGGATGGCAGGGACCTTGTTGGTCCCAGTAACTACTGGCACACAGTAGGTGCTTAACAGATGTTAGCTGAATAAACTCTGGATAAATAAATGCCCCAGCCTTGATTCTCAGTCCTTTCTACTGCCCCACCCCACTGACCTGTTGACCTTCTCGTTTGTATTTCCAGGACATTCCACATTCCTTCAGACTTCTGAGTGTCTGCACACGGTTGCCTCTGCTAGGAGGGCCCTTTCTCTACAGCTCGATTCAGCGAGCTCCTACTCACCCTCTAAAGCCCACCTTAATGCCCCTCCTCTGGGGAGCTCCTGCTCCTTCTTGGCTGTGTTGCAACGCCTCCCTCTCCCCTCCACTGTGGGACCGCTGTTCACAGGTCTGCTTCCCCAGGCCATTCAGGCTGGGGGCTCCCACTGGCAGGGCCGGGTCTGAATCACTGCTTGGGGGAGGTGCTGCTGCTCAGCCTGGGGCCCGGCCCAGCGCAGCTGCCCAGAGGATGTCTGCTGAGCACTGCTGGACAGTAAAGCCTGTGGGGAGGATGTCTCACCTGGTTGGTGCCTCACCCTTGCAGGGTCTCCCACCTCCTCTTTCATCCCCGCAGCAGCCAGAATGGGCTTTTAAAAATACAAAAGTGATGAGCTGTTTAAAAGCCATTCTGGAAAATCCCCATCGTACTCGGAATAACTTCCAAACTCCTGACCAGGGCCCATGAGGCCCGACATCTGGCCCCTCCATGCTCTCCATTTTGCCCACAGTCCTCCAGCACGGTTCTGCCTCTGGGCCTTTGCCCGCGCTGTTCCCTCGGCCTGGTATGCTCTTCCTGATCATCCCGGGCCAGCTTCTTCTCATCATTCACGCTTCTGCTCACACGGTCGCCTCCCCCGAGACGCCCTCCCTGCCCTCCCCAGCCGCCTGCACCCGGTGCCCCGCCTGCCTTCCTTGGACGCCTGTCAGCCTGGGCTTCTCTCACTGCCTCTCTCCCCTCTCATCTGCCTGTGCACTGCTGTGGTGCTAGCACCTGGCACGTAGCAGGTGTCTAAAATGATTGTCACCGGACTGATCCTTTCTCATCCCCGAAGAAAACAAGCTTCAGTGTTTGGCTTTTCAGTAAAGCAAGTCGCTAGAAGGGATTCTGTGTCGATGTTGTTCACCGCAGTGTCCCCAGGGCCCAGAGCAGTGCCGAGGGCAGAGCAGGCTCAACGTTTGCTGGGGAAAAGGGAGGCAGTCCTCATTTGGGGCTGAGATGGCCAGAGATCCCAGAGCCAGGGATGAGTGTCTTTGCGATCCTTCAGCCTCATGAGGGGACACACAGTTATTCCTGTCCCCATGGGGGCAGGAACCGGCAATGGGAGCCCACCGTTGGGCTGCAGCTCACCTGACAGCAGCATGGGGTCCTTGTCCACAGACTTGCGCACCTGGTCAGATTCCCCAGTCAGGGAGCTTTCATCGATCTTGAGGTCATTGCCCTGGATGAAGAGGCCGTCGGCAGGAAGGAGGTCACCTGGTGGGCAGAAAAGTGGGAGAGTCAGCAGGGTCTCAGGTGGCTGGAGAGACTGAAACATCACCTTAAAGGTGTGGTTATGAGGGAAAGTTCACTATTGTGGACCAGATGCCCACAGCTCCCAGGGTGCAGGAACCAAGATGGCGCCATTACTGCCAATGGGCGGCTCCCAACTGGGGCCCGGGTGAATGGTGCAAGGCATGGAGGACTGAGCTGGGGCCCAATAACAACCCTCACTCAAGCAGGCACGTACTTCATAAAGCACCAATCTTGGCCTGCCTTGGGTTTGAGGACCGATTTTCTCAATGATTCATTCCTTAGTCTCACTTATGGTTTGGGGAAATTCTTTTGGAAGAGACTTGTCTGTCTGTCTTGGCTAGGCTGAGGAGACCCCAATCAAGGCACATTATCAAGGAGAAATCAAGCCCTCTAGGGCTGAGTGAGAAGGGGCACTCCTGTCTCTCCCCCATCTTCTGCCTCTACTTACCCAGGACATATCAGGTCCAACCCCCTTTGGTGCCAGCCTGCTCTCTTTCTCCATGGCAGTTACACAAGCCCAGAATATTCACTCACCCACTTCTGCTCCCCCTAACACCTCCTCTAGCCCAACAACCATCTATCCACAGCCATTCTGAGTATGAGCAGCCTTTGGAGTGTTGTGTTTAGAAGGCTTCTGAGGCTGTATCCAGGCCCTGAGCTCTAGGTGGAAATTTGGAGAGTGGTGGCACATGTACATGGATTTGCCTTTTCTGATTTAAATGGATTCTGGAATTTTACCTCCTCCAGGAAGTACCCCTTCATCTCCCAAAGGACCTCAGAAGACATCCTGGCTTGGGATCAGCCTTCAGGGGCCCACCCTCTTCCCTGGGCCAGCCTCTCTGCATCTGCCTGGCCTGTGCCACCTCTGTGCAGACTCCAGCTTTAGAACCTGGATCTGTGGCTGGGGCGCTTACCATATTTGACCTGGGCGATGTCCCCGACCACGATCTCAGCCACAGGGATCTGGACCACCTGGCCAGCCCGGACCACAGTGAACTTCTGCTCCTGCTCAATACGACTCTGCAGGCCCCGGAACTGTTTCTCTTTGCTCCAATCATTGAAGGCCGTGACCAGGACCACACAGATGACCGAGAGGAGGATGGCGGCCCCCTCGATCCAACCTGCCTCTGCCTCTCCTTCATCCTCTGCCCCACCTTGGGCTGTCGCGCATCCTGCAGGGAGCAGAAAGAAGCAGGTGGGGTAAGGTCAGCAGGCATGAGGGGCCTCATGGGCTCGGATTGAAAGCCCAGCTCTGCCAACTAACAAATGTTGACAATCAGATGATAGTGATCCATTTATTCAGTGTGTCTGGGTGCCAAGCCCTGTGCAAAGTGCTTCACAGGGATGATCTCACAGAGTACTCACTCCGCCCATAGCACAGATGTGGAAGCTGAGGCTTCCTAGAGAGGCCAAGTGACTTGCCCAAGCTAGGAAGAGCAAATAAGTCACTAGGAAGCGAACCCAGGCAGTCTGGCTTCAGAGCCACTGTCTTTGTTCGAGCTGTGAGATCTTGGGAAAATGACTTCACCTCTCTGAACCCCAGTTTTCTCATCTGTAAAATGGGAAGAATATCCTTTCTCTCAGGGACCTACTGTGAGGGTTGAAATTTTAATAAGGTGAAGTCCGTGGAGTCTCTGGCATAGACTTGGCACAGAGAAGAAAAAAGAGAATTTTCATTAATTCATGAGAAAAGAGAAAAAATCAGGTTTTTCACACAACAAAGGCAATGAATATTGCACATGCTTTTGGGTCTAAAATGCAGTTCTGTCAGTGTCTTCTCCTATTCTTCCAGATGCCATTAGGCAGCAGGGCTGGGGCAGGGACTGCAGCCCTGGACCTGCCCTCTGATGAGCTAGTTCCATCCCGCTGTCCCTGCATGCTCCTGGCTAGGTTATTGCTCTTCCTCAGCTTCAATGGCCCTCAGATGCTAAATGGGGATCATTGAGACCACCTTCCAGGGCTTAGGGAGAGGAAGGTGGAAGCTCCCAGCCAGTGCTCAGGGCTCAGGAGGTTCTAACTCAGCCCTTGCTGGATGTGAGCTGGAGGGAGCCCCACTTCATAGTGAGGACACCAACACCCGAGCTGCAGGCTGCTTGTGTGACCTACAGTGACCCTGCACCCCACACCCTCGCACCATGGAAACTCCCAGTCTGTTTGACGTCTTCCAGGTCCATGGGGTGAATGGAAAAAGAAAAACACCAGGCACATCTGGTTCAAAGGCCACAGACCCGAAGGCAGGTCCTGCCCCTGAGTCTAAGACCTTTCCAAACCTCTCCCTCCATCCCCACAAGGATCTTGAGAGCAAGAGGTATTACTTCCATTTACAGATGGGGAAACTGAGGTTCAGAGAGGCACGATGCCTCAGCCAGGATGAGCCCAGGCCCTTTTTACCACTGGAGGTGGACAGTGGCCATTTCCATGGAAAGTGCCCCAGCAGCGTTTGACCATCCATCCCTGAGAAACTCAGAGTGGCTCCCTCCCATGGGGCCTAGGAAAGGGACTGGGCAATTCCCAAAGCCTACTGTGGCTAAGCATCTGCTTTAATCCAGAAGCTGGCTGAGAGAAGGGAAGCGGCTCAGAGAGGGGCAGTGACTCACCTGGGGTCACACAGCTGATCTGGGGTTTGAATCTAGGCCTGGAATCTGACACCAGACTTGGCCTGGCCCCTAGCCCCCAGACCAGTGACCCCCCTGTCACATGCTGACCTCACACGGGAAAGTAGAAAACGTTGTCAAAGACTCATGGCTGACTGTCTGGAAGTCCAATTCGGTCCCAAGGAACAGAGAACAGCAGTTTCAAGAGAACCCAGCAGAAGCTTCTGGGTTCAGAAGCAACATGACAGGAAGGCCAATGGTACCCAGCGAATGTTTGCTGGCTCTTGGCTCCTGGGAAGGTAAGGGCTTAGTTGGTGGGCCCAGGCTTGGGAAGATTCAGGATCACTGTGGCTGAGCTGCGTGTGCCACTGGAAAATTCCAGGTCTTGGGCTGAACCACCTGCTCCCTGCAGGCCAGTAAACAGTGTCATCATGTGGGGTTCTCAAAGCCACTTTAGTTTTTCCCTTTGGGAGTTTCAGACTTTTCCAGTAATTTTAAACTGTTCAACCAGACCAGCCTGCTAATGATAACTGACGTTGGGCCAAATCCCAGCTGTGTTATTTAGCTGCTGTGTGCTTATGGGCTGTTTTTGTAACCACTGTGCCTTGGTTTTTTCATCTGCAAAATGGGGAGATAACATGGGCTCCGTCATAAGGCGGCTGGGAAGATTAAGCGAGAGCCTTACGTAAAACACCCACCGCAGTGAGCACACAGGAGATGCTCGGTTAAGGCTGCTGCTCGCTTTCCAGTGGGTGGCTGGATCCTCGAGCCCCACGGTACCGAGGGGTATCCTGCTGGACTCCTGTAATGTGTGATGATGGGAGGAGAGGAACTAGGGGATGGTGCCCCCTGTACCACCAGGAATGACACCAGGATTTACCCCCAAAACTGGGGAACACAGGTGAACCTCGCTAAACAGAAACTCAGTATATGGAAATGGGTTCTCTTGGGGCTTGGGAGTGGGGAAGGGTAGGGGAGGAGTGATTCGAGATATAGAGCCCAGAATTCCCTTTTACAGGACTTTTGGCATCCCCAGTGCCTTGCTATGTGCTCTGGAAATGGGAAGGCTGCTATTTCTCCTGTTGGGTGCTTCCTCAATGGGCCCTATTAGGGCAGTTACTGCAGCATTTGGACATTTAGAGACAGGACAATGGAAAGCCTCCAGGCTCTGGGATTGGAAAAATCTGGCTTCAAATCTAGGATCTGCCGTGCGACCTTAGGTAAGTGACTTGGCCTCTCTGAATCTCAGTTTGGACAGCTGGAATGTGGGATAATCCCAGCGACTTGGTGAGCCCAGGGCCTAACAAGGGCCTGGCATGTGGTGGATACATGGTAAGCGTTGGTCCTCTCCCCATTTTCATGAGCTCCTCTGCTTGAACTGGCCTCTGGCAGCCAAGGTATGGCAGCTGAGCAGGATTTGCACTGTTCCCTCAACTCCCAGGCCTGCCTGCTGCCCTTGTTAATTCAACACCAAGGAGCCCTCTAGGCCTTGGAGGAAACTCAGTCTACCAGGAAAAGCCGATGAGCTTTATCTCCTTCTGAGAACTGTCTGATGGTCACACGGTGCCTTGGATGGCCAGAAAGCAGGTGTGTGGATTGTGGGGTTAGGCCTTCAGCTACCTGGGAGCTGCTGGACCCTGAGAACAACTCTTGCCACACCTGGTGCAATCAGGGGCAAGAGGAGAGAAAGGGAAGGAAGAGGAAAGTGGGTGGGCCCTGCCGAGGTCTCCTCTGGGGTGCTCTTGGACTGGAGCAGGGACAAGAGCTGGAGATTGAGGCTACAGGGTGCAGGGGACTGTGGCTGCTCTCTGTGGACCTGGAGCTGTACAGGGTGTGGCCTTTCACTGTCTGTGTGACCTTGGGAAACCCACTTGGCCTCAGTCTGCTTATTCACCAGTAAAGTGGGGACTTTACCTCCTAGGTGGTTACCACGTCCTGGCATCCAACAAGGGCCTTCAAAGCGGGTAAAGCCACAAACATGCATTTTCTAGGCACTTACTATGTGCCAGTGGCTCTGCTGGCACTCTAGCACTAGGGGAGCTGTCACTGGCAGGGAGTTGGAAGCACTGGCTGTGCCAATCCCAGCCCTGCCAAGAACATGCTGCGTGACCTCAGACAAGTGCGCAGAGGTCTCTGAGCCAGGTAATCTTACAAAATGATGCTGGTGGAGGACTAACAGGCTGTAGAGTACCCGCAGCACCCACAGTCTGTCCTCGATGGCTTTCTTGGTGGTGGGCATGAGTGCCTCAGTTTTACAGAGGAGGAGATCAGACCTCCCTAGGGTCACACACCAGGAAGACAGAGCCAGACTCAAACCCAGGTCCCCTACCCTAAGTTTGGGGATTTGGAGATACTTCTGTACTGCTCACTCCTGGTCATCAAGGGGAATCCAGCCCAGTCTGGCCCAGCCCAGCCCAATCCCCCGCTGGTGGTTTTGGGGAGAAGGATGAGAGGAAGGGTGAGCCAGCATCCCAGGAGTGAAACATTATGTAAAACTAGATAGTGTGAATGGGCAGCAATAGGATCACCACTGGACAGGGCTCTGTGGTCAGTCCCCCGATATCTACTGAGTACCTACTGTGGGCAGGCACCACATGGACCAAGCTCATTGCATGTATGATTCAAATTCTGCACGTCAACACTGCTGGGCATGTGCTCCCCGCCTGTCTCATAGATGAGGATGAGGCCCAGATAGATAGGGGCAGTCACCTGCGGGGGAGTTGCTGAGCCTGGATTTGAACCTGCATCCTTCTGGGGCCCAGACCTCACTTTTTCCATCTGCTCGGAATAGGCCTCCTCCTCGGAAGGGCATGTCTTCCAGTGGGGGCAGCCAGACCCCTGGAGCTGTCTGGTGTTGCATTCCTTTGCCTGCCCCAAACCTGGCCCTGGAAATGAGCCCAGGTGCGTGTCTTTCACCATCAAGGGAAGCCCGAGGCCTGGCTTGGGGTCACGGCCACGCTTCTGCGAGCAGCTCTGGGCCACTCCTCCTGCAGAGCTCCAGTTTCCTTGCCTGCCGCGCATGGTGCGGGGTGCATATGCTGGCCAGCAGCACAGTGCGGGCTCTGAGAGGATGTCCCTTCTGAGGCACTTAAGACACTGGCAGGCGATTAATAAAATGGAACAAACTCACACACAAGGTGGACACTGTGGATTCGGCGGAAGCTGATGGAATGTCGCCTGTCTTTGCTGTGGGGGCCAGGTTATAAGTAGCCTCCACCTTCTTTCTGCCTCCCTCGCTCCCTTCCTTCTGCTGACAGGGCCTGTGTTGTTCCTTCTGCTGAATTTCCTGAGTCCATCCTGTGTGCAGGGTCTGCCTGCCGCTTCTGAAGTGGGGTCTCTCTCTGGCTCATGCCCAAACTCCTGGATCTTTAGATCTGGGGGCAGCGGGCCTCTGAGGGTCCAGTATGACAGAGGTTGAGGCAAGAGTGACAGGCACTGGGGGTTTGGAACCTGTGGTTCCAACAAGCTCAGGCTGTCCACCTCTGCTTTGCAGCAAAGGAAACCAGAATGGTGGGGTGTTGGGAAGAGTGCGGCCTCCCTTCTGGAGAGGGGTCGTGGCTGGCCACACGGGTAGAAACGCCTGCTTGCTGAGCACGGGGCTCTGTGCTGAGCGCTTTGCATAGCTCCCTTCCATCCTCACCAGGGCCCCACGGGTGGGTGCTATAATTCACCCCACTGTGTAGAGGTAGACACTGAGGCTGGGCGCATTGCACATTGGAGGGAGGGCCGGCCCATGGTCCCAGGTTGGACAGGCAGGGCTGGTCCCTGAGCCCAGGCTCTGACCACTGGCCTCTGGTGCCTCCTGGGAGGTGGCAACTGGTGTCAAGGAGAAACTGGATGCATTTCACAGTTTCAAACAAAACTCTTTGCTGCCACCACCATAGTAATGGCAGTTTCAACAGTGGCTGCTCAGGGAGGGCCCTGCTGGGGATCTCTGGCTGAGGTCCCTGGTCTATAAGATGGGCATGAGGGTCAGTGAGAACCTGGACAGAAAGTGCCAGCAGTGATGAAGCCTGAGTCTGAGTTGCAGCAGGGGGTTCCTGGCTACATGGAAGGTCAGAGCTTGGCCAGGGCATGGGCCCCGGGAGAAGGAGTAAGTCCAGGAACTTCACTTGGGAGGGCTGCAGTGTGTGTCGCTGCCTTCGACCCAGGGCACGGCCTGGCTAGTGCCTCAGCCGATGCAGGGAGGGGCAGTGGAAAGAACCAGACAGACTTGGGTTTAAAATCCAGCCTTCCCACCTACAAGCTGTGTGACCTCAGGCACATCCTGCCCCTCTCTGGGCCTCAGTTTCTGCACCTCTCAGATGGAAGTGATCACAGCCACCTGTCTGAGGGCTGTGGGGAGGCTCCTGGCACACACTGGGAGCCCGATCCATGTTCTCACCGCACACCTCCACCACCTGCCCCTCTGAGGTCTAATCTTGCAGTAAATTGGGTCACATGAGGCCACTCATCTGGTTGGCACTGACTCAGCCTGTCCCTTTCTGAGGATATGCAGCCGAGGGATGGGAGTGAGGATCCAGAATGCCTTGGTGTGAGTCACGGTTCTGCCACTTCCTAGCTGTGTGACCTTAGCAAGCCATTCACGACCTCAGGGCCTCAGCTTGCTGGGTAATAATAGCACGTAGCTACAGGGCCATTGAGAGGATTAAGTGAGGACTAAATAAACTCCCGCCACAATGGCTCCCGACTAGTGGGAGCCGTAAAATTAGTGAGAAGTGTTACCGTCATTTGTCTTGCTCCCTTGGCTCTGTTCAAGGCTTATTCAAGCAGCCACGAAAGACCTTCTTCTGTATTTGCTATAAAACTTCCGCAAAGAAGGCTGCCCATTATGAATCTCTTATGTCTCTGTGAAAGTTCATCCCAGAATTCATTGTCAGGAGGAATGTCGGCTTCCTAAAGAATTAACGTTTTTCCTCCTTGTTGATAATGTGAGCTGTGCAAATCATCCTAAATCCCTTTCTGCCTTAGCTGCCAGGAAGCTCAAGTCAAATTTAAATCTCAATCACAGTAGCAATTATAGATGGTTAGTTTTCTTCCATTCTCTTTCTGTCTGGCCTTCTATTTGACCTCGTCTTGTGGGACATGTCCCTCTGTGTCTTTAAACCCTCTAAGGAAAGAGATCATGCAAACAACTTAGTAAGGTAGCTGGCCTAATAGACTTGCTTATCCAGTTTCTTGGGCAACTTTGGCTTGGGAGAGGATAAGGGTCTCTGAGGTTCAAGGAACCTCAGAGACCAACCCCTCGTCTGGGTAAAATGAGGCCCATAATGATAATATCTTATATGCTATTAACTTTTAATTTGCTTGCCTGAAACAGTGAACACAGTAGGATTATCTATTTATGTAGCACATTCATCAAGAAATGTCAAATCGTATTAATAACAAAGAAAAGTGTTTCAATATTCTATTAATTGAAAAAGCAGATTATAAAATAATCTAACAAAACAATATATCTTATGTGATCCCACATATCATCCACAGTATGTGTCTATCTCTCAATGAAGTATGTGGTATAAATATGTATATAAACATGAGTATATATATGAGGACACTTCAAAAAGTTCGTGGAAAGATTCATATTATCTTTCAAAATTCTATTTTTCCATGAACTTTTTGAAGAACCCT